TCAGCTAGTGTAACAAAAGGTAAAGGATCGGGAGAGGATAAAGAGGAGAATAAAGATTTGTTACCAGTAATATGATCAGTGGCTCCCGAATCAAAAACCCAAGGACCGGAAGAAGATTGGGTCGGACCAAGCAAAAGATGTACTCGTGTGTGCAACGGACACAAGTGGAACTAGAAGACTGTTGATCCTTATACCATTTGAGAAATTTGTTGAACATAGCAGGTATGTCTAATGAAATAGAAGAAGGAGGATCCTTAGCAGATAAAGGTGGGAAAAAATCAGTCTGAGCAACTGCAGTAGATCGAGTAGGACGACCATGTAATGCATAACACTTGTCAATCTTGTGACCTAGTTTGCCACAATGTTCACACTCATGTAATGCATAACACTGGTCAATCTTGTGACCTAGCTTGCCACAATGTTCACACTTAGGACACCCTTTTCCCTGTTTTCGAGGGCGAGTTTGATCATCACGGTGAGATACCAATGCGGAAGAATCATTAACGAAGCAGTGTGTGTCGTGGTTGAGTTTTTGCTGGTATACGCAAAAGAGTGGAGCGGAGTCGATGTCAAGGTGGGGACAACATGAGAACCCAAAATCTGATCACGAATATGTGAATATTGATCAGCAAGTCCATGTAATGCCCCTAGCATGAAGAACTTTGATCGTTGTCCTATCTCGATGGCGTGGTCTGGGGAAGGAGGCAATAACTCATTGAACTCATGAAAAAGAGCATGAATTTTGCCCATATAATCAGTCATAGAATCTTGATGTTTAGAGGCAATAACATCTACAAATTTAGAACAGTACATCATAGAGACGTTGAGTATCATTGGTGTATAATAACTTGACATGTTCCCGCATTTTGGCACATGTTTCGTAGGAACGAAAAATTTGTTTTAACGAAGGATCAAGAGTACCCTTGAGAACCATGCATAATTGAGCATCAATGGTGTCCCAACGGTCTTCCTCATCGGGAGTGAGAGTAGGTGCTTTCGGGCAAGATGATCAAGATACTTCGACTCTTAAGCCATAATCCGACGTCCGATGACCATGTGGCATAATTAGGGCCGGTTAACTTGTCAATGGATAAGTGCACATTAACATAGTTAGTGTAGATTGAAGGATCGACGCAAGATCTGACAAAATTGGAAGTACTAAAAGGAGCGGAAGAACTCATAAAGGGCGGAGGCGATAGTGACAGTGGCGTGAACCAGGACACCAGTGTAAGTTCCTAGGAAAGAGAGGTGGGTCACTAATGGACACGCTTAAATACCAAGTCTTTCCTTGTCAGAACTTTCCTAAACATGCACTTTCACACTACCAAATAACCGACAGCGATAGCGGCGGTGGTGGCGACTTCAATAGTGGTCAAAGGCGAAAAAAATTCAAAATAACCTTAAGCTCTAGATACCATGTTGAATATAGAAGAAATAGAGTTTGGGATTAATCTCCCTTGTGTATAAATCACACATAGGGTAGTCTATTTATAGTAGAGAGATACAACTAAAAGAGTAACTGAAAGTAACAGAATAAACAGAAGATATTGTTTGATATTATGGTTAATATCTAACAATATCTTAACAATATTAAATAATATCTAAACAATATCTAACACTAAACGTAAAATTGACAATACTTACTCAGGTGCATTATGGCACAGACGCTCAGGTCACAATCTAATCGTGGTGTTTGGGCTTGTGTTACACTCTTAAAGATATGGTAAGAAGTATGATTTGTCATTCCACCTTACCGGAGTCACTCTGAGGAGAGGCACTAAAGATGACAACTTATATTCTAAACAGAGTACCAACTAAAGCAGTCACTAGAACACCTTATGAGCTTTGGACTGGGCAAAAGCTTAGTCTGAAGCATTTCCATGTATGAGGCTATCCAGTTGAGGCAAGACCTTATAAGCCAAATGAAAAGAAATTGGACTCTCGAATAGTGAGTAGTTATTTTATTAGTTATGTTGAAAGATCCAAGGATATAAATTTTATGATTCCACATTAAAGACAATTTTTGAGATGGGAACTGCTATGTTCTTTGAGAATATTGAGTTTGGGGGAAGAATAAGATTAAGAATTTTATCTTGGAGGAAGAATCAACAACAAATCCAGAACTGATTCAAATAGTTACTTTTGATAAAGTAAGTTCAGAACCTCCACAAGACATTGATGATGAACCTCATACTCAAGATGATTTGATTGTTCGTCAAGAACAAACTCAAGATCCTTAAGAACCTATGCATCATGAACCAGGGATACTCCAGTTGCTAAGGGAGACAAGTTTAGTCTAAATCAATGTCCAAAGGAGAATTTGGAAATTGAGGAAATGCAGACGATTCCCCATGCATCAGTTATAGGGAGTTTGATGTATTTCCAAATATGTACGCGTCCAGACATAGCATACATAGTTGGGGTTCTTGGCAGATATTTAAGCAATCCAGGAATAGATCATTGGAAAGCAGCAAAAAAGGATCATAAGATATTTAAAGAGAACAAAAGATTATATGCTCACATACAGGAGGTCAGACCAGTTGGAGATCGCTGGATTTTCTGACTCAGATTTTGCAGGATGTCAAGAATTTGTAGCATGCTATGAGGCATCAAATTATGAAATATGGCTGAGAAATTTTGTCACAGGGCTGCAAATTGTGAAAGACATTGAAAGACCAGTTAAGTTATATTGTGACAATAAATCAACTATATTGTTAAAGAAAGAGTACAGAGTGGACAGATTCCCATAGAACACTTAAGGACAACCTCCATGATAGCAGATCCTCTAACTAAAGGACTTCTGCCCAAGGTCTTTCATGAGCATGTTGCTCACATGGGTGTTTTACAGTTTGAGGAATTTGGGGTTAGTGAGAGTTAATCATTTTCATATATTTTATGTTCTATGTTTAATTTCATATATGTATACATTGATTTATTGGACATATTTGATTATCTATAGATATGCAGTTTTTTTGTCGTTCATTCATTACACTTTGTACATTAAGGTTAGTATATCGATCTCGAGAAGTTAATGTTTGGACCAGTTGAAAATAGACGTGTACAGATCACCTTCACGCAATTTTTCATGTTACACATTTCATGATGAATCCATGTCATTTGGTTATGTCAGGATTAGTAATCATTGTTGGTTTTAGTTGTGATGATGCAATGAAAAGCTGGTTTGGTTCTATATCCTTATATGAACAATGGACAGGACTTTTGGAGTATACTAAAGGAATATAATGACAATTTTGAGCTCATAAAGTCTAACACATTTGTAAGGTTGTAATGACATATATATTTGTGACCAGTGGGAGATTGTTAGCAAATATTGAGTCATGTATATATATGATACATAATTTAAATGTGTTAGGGTCATTATTTATTAAGCCAAATAATCAAGTGATCTGACTAAATTAAAGTTTGGCTAAAGACATGTCATGAAAATAAAATTGTGTAGAGACCATAGAGCAATTTCTAATTTGATGAGGGGCCAAATTGAAAATACTAAAACTTAAGTAATTAACATAATTCTGATTATTTAAAGGGTCATGGTCCCCTTCTAGGAGCACATACAGAACGTAAGTTTAAGTCCCGTTCTTTTCTTTCTATCCCCATCAAGAGAGAAAATCTAGAGGAAAAATACAGGTGCTCTTCAGGTGGAAGACCATAAGATCAATAGTGCTCTACAAAGGATATCATCATTATGGCTAATTCATGTACGCTTTCGCATTCATTTTACAACATGTTTATGAGTATGAGATTATATTTATGTTTGATAGTTAAAATCAAAATCAAGATCATAACAGTGAATTACTAGATTGACTCAAAGTTGATTGGCTACACTGATAGTGATTGGGCATGATTAATAGATAATATGAAAAGTAAATCAAGATATGCCTTCTCACTTGGATAAATATTTTTCTCCTGAGCATTTAAGAAGCAAGCAACAGTAGCATAATCAACAGCAGAGACAGAGTACATGGCAGTAGTTGAAGGTTCAAGTCAAACTATATATATGACTCCGAAGAACACTTGAAGAAATGAGAAAATAACAACATGGATCTACTATAATTTATTGTGATAACAAGTCAGCGATAGCAATGACAAATAATTCAGTCCATCATCAAAGAACACAACACATAACTATTAAATATCACTTCATCAGAAATGTTGAAACGACTAAACAAATTGAACTTAAGTACTGTACTAGAGAAGATCAAATTACAGACATATTGACCAAGGCATTACCAAGAGTCAAATTTGAACTGTTACATTTTATGCTTGGAGTTACAGGAATTTTCATCAAGAAGGAACGTTGAAAAGTGATGCAAATTCTAGAAAGTTAATTAAAAAAATTAAGTTCTAGAAACTTTTTTAAGTTCTACATACTATTAGAATTATAAACCTTATGTAAGTAGCCTCTAGAATTACTAGAAAAATATAGAAAGATAAGTTAAAATGTAATATAGAAAGAATCATCTCTAAGTTCTTAAAAGATTTTAGAAATGAGTGTCTCATGCCTATCCAAGATTAATTACTATTTATCTCATTCAAATATTTTCTTACTTGTCCACTTCTTTTTAAAAATTATTTTCTACACAAACCTCATTACTGAACAACAAATCATCCTTCCCATTCTTCTTAAAATACTAAAACAAATGATGAAGTATCTCACATAATTGCTCATTCTTTCACTCTATCTCCGCAGATATCATGACATTCTGCTTTTAATATTCAGACTTTGTTATTTACTCATAATATACAAGAAAAATGAGAGTCATATCACATATTGGGATAATTTGTTTCATTACAAAGGCGAGAGAAAAAGAAAAACAGAAAGACATATGATATTTCAAGGTTTTACAGCCACATAATTAATCAGAGTAAGTCAGAACAGTGACTTGAACACATATATCAAGAATTCCAAATACAACAACTTACTTTTATAAATAAATAAAAAAACAAATATATATTATTATTATTATTATTATTAACAGGAAAGAGCAAGTGATGAAGACGGTGAGAGATACATATACATCTTTCTCATTCTATCTCAGAACTAATATCAAGGTAACAATAATTAAGTTTAGCATATTTGATGCTTATAAAAAAGTCGAAATATAAATAATGTTGGAATTATTATTTTATTTAAATTAGATATTAAATTTTTTATTATTATTCCTTAAAATAAGATAAAAAGTATTAGATTTTAAATAATTATAACTGAAATATTATTAATATTTGATATATTATTCTATTTTTAATATATATATATATATATATATATATATATATAATACATTAATTAATAATAAAAGATATATCTATATACATCCTAAAAATTCTCATCTTACGTTCGAAATGCTTCAGTCCATACAGATAAGCAAATAGAAGAAAAAAGTATCAATAAGTTTTACATCACTTCGAATTATTTACACTTCAGTTGCGCGAGAAACATCACCCTTAATGAGTTATTCCTTGACCTATTACTTAATAATGATTGTATGTAAAACTAAAACCTTAATCCTGAACACCGAAATTCTCTTCATCCTTGATATTTATATAATTTGAACCTTATAAACCACTCCCCACATATCTTCTTGTTAAGATTCAAATTACGAAAAAAAATAATTTTATCATTAATTTCATATTTAGTATAGTGGAAACGTGAAAATCGAAACAGAAATACACATGTAGTAATTGAAAAGGAAAGAAACCTGTGTGGTTGGGGTCATCGTTGGCGGGGCTGACGTCAATGTTGAAGCAGATCATAACACCTTGCTCGCTTATGGTGGAGACGACAAACACGACAGAAGTAGCAGGATCTCACTCAGCGATGAAGATGATGGAATTGACAAAACATAACAAGAGCTCCCTTGTGATTGAAACAATGGAAGCAATAACAAAAGTTCACTCACGGTGGAGATGATGGAAGCAATAAAAACTTGCTTATTGCGACGACAGAACAATAGAGACAATAGAAGCAACAACTTCCTCACATGCTTGCGGCGGAGATGATGGCTGGACCAAAAAAAAAAAGAGAGATAACAGTGCGGCCGAAAATGAAACAATAGGCAACAAAAAGGAAGAAGAAAACTGCAAAACGAATTATTAAATTAGAAATTTAACATTAAAACATTCACTGTGAGGACAGACATATGATCTAATTTTTAACTATTTTTTATTAGATTAAAAATATAAATAATTAAATATAATTTAAATATTTTAATATATCTTTTTATTGTGTTAAAAAATACTAAAATATAATTCATTTTAGCAAAATTATTAAAATATTAGTCCTTAATAAAATAATTTACATATATATATATATATAAATATATTCTTATAATTTTTCACTTAAATTAAAAAAAAAACTCATATATCAATTTAATTAAATTATTATTTAACTAAAATTATTTAATACATTCTTTAAAATTAATTAAATAAAATAATCTTCTATTAAATAAACTGTTTAAATTTAAATATTCTATTTTGTTTTGCTAATTTTTTTAAAATCTATAGAATCATTTTCTCTAATTTGTTTCTATCACTTATTTAAATATTATTAAATATTTACTGTGAATTTGCATTAAAAATGGTAATAAAAAAATTAAATTTCTACTAATTTTCTTGCAAATTCTTTAAAAAAATTATATATTTGAAACAAATTTTATTGAAATTTATTATATATATTTTTTAAAATAAATGATTTTTTTTGCTATTGAAAAATTTGTAGGTATTTTTTTAAATAATTAAAAAAAATGGCAAGATGAATTTCTAATTGTGACTAAACTAAAATAACAAAATTTAAAGTTAAAAGCGTAAAAGACGTCAAATAGTTGTTACTGTAAACTACTGGCACTGTATTTTTCATGGACTTTTCTTGTGAAATATTTGAATTACTTTATAAAATTCATATAAAATTCGCAAGAAGTGAATTTAGTTCAAAAATTTATAGAAAAACTATAGAATATAGTTCGTAAGAAATTGGAAAAATTACTACAAAAGGTACAAGTTGTACAAGACAAATTCTCCGCTATCTTTTCAACGTATCATTTTGTTTTTCTTTTACCCACTTGATGGTCATTGGACAAGCTTCTTAGCCTAGCAGCAAGGGGAGGAGAACATCATGGAGGAGGCACCAGTAATAAGAAAAACCAGAATTTATATATAAGAGGAAGGAAGAACGGTGTGAAGTAAACAAGAAAAGAAAGGGACAGAGAAAATTGGAGAAACCACTCTCAAGTATGATTCACTAGGATAATGTGCAGTTGGAAGTGAATAAATGTTTGATTAAAGTTATTTTAATATTAATATGACTACACCTTTTCCTTTTCTTGAGAGTGGAGAGTTTGTCAGAAAGTCATTGTCACTTTTTCATTTCTTAGATATTTAGGGGACAAACAAAGAAACTTTGAAAACTAAAATATTCGTCTTTGCTTTCTGATCAAAAGTGGAAAATAAAATTAGGACATGGTTCAAAGACTATAATAATATCAAACAGAAGTTTGCCTTATATACGATGCCAGAGGGAAAGCAACGCACACAGAGAAAGGGTCCACAAGTTGAAAGGTGAAAGAGCACTTGTGTATGGTTAAAGTTGATTCCATTTTTACTCATGCTTGTTCAAAGTCTTTCCTAATTATTTACTTCATAATCAAGTATCAGTGAAAAACAACAATTAAGAATATTAGCTAAACTTCATTTACTTTTCTATTTTGTTTGATAAAACAACAATTATATCCTTCACACTCATAATACAAGCATTTACTGTTTGTGGGAACTTGTTTAACATGAAAGTTTTTTTTTTTTTTTTTCGAATGTCATAGAGTTAATATCATGAGAATTGGTTATATTGAAATAAAAATCTCAATAATTGAGACTTGTTTTTGGGAAGACTTTTCATTGCACAGCATTTCTCCTTTCTTTAAGAAGGTTTGTCCTCCCACTTCTGTACCAAGAAAGAACTGTTTTAAGCATTGCCCATAACCTTCTGCAATTGCTTCTAGTAGCATCCAAACTAGCTCTTCATCACGCACAAGAAATTTCGACGTCTTCGTAAGCTTTAGAGGTGAGGATACTCGTAATGGTTTTACTGGTCACCTTTTTGCTTCTCTTCAGAGAAAAGGTGTTGTTGCCTTTAGAGATGATCACGTGTTTTCATTGTTGTCTTTTCAAAGGACTATGCATCATCCACATGGTGCATGAAAGAGCTCACAAAGATTGTTGATTGGGTTGAAGAAACAGGCCGAAGTGTGCTACCTGTTTTCTATGATATCACTCCTTCAGAGGTTCGAAAACAGAGTGGAAAGTTCGAAAAAGCTTTTGTTGAACACGAAGAAAGGTTAAAAGATGAATTGGAAATGGTACAAAGATGGAGAGATGCTTTGAAAGCAATTAATTACCAATCGTTGTGGGTGGGATGTACAAAATAAGTAAGTGCTTAGTTATTAGCTTCTTCTTCTTTTTTTCATATCATATATACTGTTAGGTAAACCTTAAATGCACGTAGTTGAAAGCTAGTTGTTATAGAGGTAGTAGTTGAAAGATAGTAGTTATATTAAATGTATGTAGTTGAGAGATATTGATTGTATATTGAATATATGTAGTTGAAAGGTAGTAGTTGTATTAAATCATGTAGTTGAGAGACCATATCCAAAGACCTATAAATTGAACATGTATCACTCATTGCAAATACATCAAGTGATAATATACAGAGTGTTTTATTTAGATACTTGTTTGTCAACAAATTGACATCAGAGCTTGAGAGCTTGAGAGCCTGAGTGTCTGAGTGCGTTAGAGAGAGTGTTTGAGAGTTAGAGAGTTTGTTCGAGATGGTCAACTTAGCTAACAGCATGCCCCTGCCAAAGTTATCGAAAGGCGTAAGCTATGATAACTGGAGCCTGCAAATGAAGGCTCTCCTTGGTTCCCAAGAAGTATGGGATGTGGTCGAAAATGGGCACCAAGAACTAGAGAATATTGAAGAGCAGACGATTGCTCAGCTTGCTGCATTGAGAGCAACACGAGTAAAGGACAAAACAACTTTGTACGTACTGTAATGAGCTGTTGATGAGTCCGGCTTTGAGAAGATAGCAAATGCTAAATCTTCAAAAAAAGCGTGGGATATTCTGGAGAAGGCATATAAAGGAGATAATCGCGTGAAACAAGTCAGACTTCAAACTCTTAGAGGCGAGCTTGAAAGCATGAGGATGAAAGAGGTCGAAGGGGTTGCCGAGTACATCTCCCGTGTTGAGACCGTGGTGAATCAACTCGGAAGAAATGGAGAGACGCTGCCCACTTGCCGAGTGGTGGAGAAAATCTTAAGGTCGTTAACTGACGACTTTGAGAATATCGTTTGTGCAATAGAAGAGTCCAAGGACTTGTCGGTGCTCTCGGTGGAAGAGCTTGCCGGGTCGCTTGAAGCACATGAGCAGCGGAGAAGGAAGAAGAAAGAGGAGTCCCTTGATCAAGCACTCTAAGCAAAGGCAACCTTAAAGGAGAAGAAGGTTCCTTATGCTCAGAACACTCAAGGCCAAGGTGGTAGAGGCAGAGGAGAATATGAAAGAGGCAAGGAGCAAGTCAGTCAACAAAATTGGCATGGCCGAATACAAGGTAGAGGTCGTGACGGTAGAGGTCGAGGTGGTCAGTCAAGCAATTCTGGAGTTGAGTGCTTCAAATGTGAGAAGTACGGTCATTTTGCTAAGGACTGCTATTCAAGTATCAAATATTATAATTGTGGGAAGGTTGGACATTTCACAAAGGACTGCCGATCTGAGAGAAAAAAGGAGACAAACCTCCTCTCTGAGGACATTGAGGAAGAAGGAGTATTGATGATGTCAAGAAGTTCGGATGTCGAGCTAAGTCCGAGCTGTTCTGACAACTCGGTTTGGTATCTTGATACAGGAGCAAGTAACCACATGTGCAGGGACAAGAACTTTTTTAAGGAGCTCACTAAAGTTGAGGCCGGACACGTATCATTTGGAGATGCATCAAAGGTGGCGGTAAAAGGCAGAGGTACAATCTGGTACCTACAGAAGAATAGCCGAGTTGGAGAAATCAGAGACGTGTACTATGTACCTGATCTCAAAAGCAACATATTGAGCATGGGCCAGCTGATGGAGAAAGGCTACTCGGTTCTGATGAAAGACCGAGTACTATACCTGAAGGACAAGTCAGATCGTTTGATTGCCCGAGTAGAAATGAAGAAGAACAGAATGTACAAGATGGACTTGAAGATAGTCCAAGAGAGGTGCTTGAAACTTGACGTGAAGGATGAAGCAATGATGTGACACTTTCGGTTTGGCCACTTGCATTTTGGCGGGCTGACCGAGTTGGTAAAGAAAGAGATGGTGCGAGGACTCCCGTCTATGGAATTTGAAAAGAAATTTTGTGAAGAGTGTGTGCTCGGGAAGCATCCGAGGACCTCATTTTCAAGGACGACCGAGTACCGTGCAAAGGAACAACTCGGATTGATTCACACAGATCTTTGTGGACCGGTTACCCCTGAGTCCTTCAGTGGGAAAAGGTATTTCATTTCTTTTATAGATGATTTTTCAAGAAAAACCTGGGTATATTTTTTGAAGGAGAAATTCGAGGTGTTTGAGGTGTTCAAAAGATTTAAAGCAATGGTTGAGAAAGAGACTGACATGCCTATCAAATCTGTTAGGTCTGATCGAGGAGGCGAATTCATTTCATCCGAACTCATGAAGTATTGCGAGGAGCAAGGGATAAGGAGATTTCTGACAGCACCATACTCACCCCAACAAAACGGAGTTGCCGAGAGGAAGAATCGAACCATTCTTGACATGGTTCAAACAATGTTGAGAAGCAAAAATGTGCCAAAGGAGTTCTCGGCAGAAGCAGTGCAATGTGCCATCTATGTGCAAAATAGATGTCCACATGCTAAGCTGAACAAGAAGACACCGCAAGAAGTCTGGAGTGGAAGAAAACCGAGTGTGTCTCACCTTAAAGTGTTCGGTAGCATAGCTTATGGTCATGTTCCAGCTCAACAAAGGACCAAGCTCGAAGATAGAAGCAAAAAGTACGTGTTTATTGGATATGATGAAAAAACCAAGGCGTACAAGTTGTTTAACCCAATAACTAAGAATGTCATCATGAGCAGAGATGTTCAAATTGATGAAGAAAGCGAGTGGAGTTGGAACAACTCAGAGAAGGAGTCCATAGGAAGTAGAATCTCGAAAGTTGATACACCACATACTGTGAGAGATCACGAGACTTCTGATGAAGAAGATGAACCTCTACAGCCCAGAGCGTGAAGTTTACAAGATATATACAACTCCACTAACGAAGTGCATGTTGTATGTCTCTTGGCAGATTCAGAAGACTTAAGTTTTGAAGAGGTCGTGCAGGAGAAAAGGTGGAAAAATGCAATGGACGAGGAGATTGGGGCAATAGAACGCAACAACACATGGGAGCTGACTGATTTGCCCAAAGGAGCGCGACCTATCAGCGTAAAGTGGGCGTACAAGAAGAAGACAAATGTTGAAGGAGAAGTTGAGCGATATAAAGCTCGACTCATAGTGAAGGGGTACAAGCAGAAAGAAGGAATAGACTATGACGAAGTATTTGCCCCAGTGACGAGAATGGAAACAATTAGGCTGTTGATTTCCTTAGCAGCTCAACACAGATGGACAATCTTGCAGATGGACGTGAAGTCGGCATTTCTGAATGGAATCTTGGAGGAGGAAGTATATGTTGAACAGCCACTCGGATACATGCGAAGAGGAGAAGAGAAGAAAGTGCTGAGATTGAAGAAGGCACTTTATGGCTTGAAACAAGCTCCACGAGCATGGAATGAAAGAATTGACACTTACTTCAAAAGGAATGGATATGAGCAGCGTCCTTATGAGCATGCTCTATACATAAAGAAGAAAGGAGAAGATGTGATGTTTGTTGCCCTATATGTTGATGACCTTATCTTCATGGGGAATAATGTCGAGCTAATTGAAGAGTTTAAAGAAGTGATGAAGAAGGAGTTTGAGATGACTGACTTGGGTCTTATGAAGTATTTTCTTGGCTTAGAAGTTGTTCAGGGAAAGGATGACATCTTTGTGTCGCAGGAAAGGTATGCTGAGGAGGTCTTGAAGATGTTTAAGATGACAAGCTGCAACCCGGTTTCCACCCCTATGATACCTGGTACAAAACTTTCTAAGTATGCAGATGGAGACCTAGTTGATGCAAGCAAATACCGAAGTCTGATTGGAAGTCTTAGGTATCTTACAAATACCAGACCAGATTTAATGCTAAGTGTTGGAATAGCAAGTCGATATATGGAGGAGCCAAGGTATACTCATTGGAAGGCACTAAAGAGAATTCTAAGGTATGTGAGAGGAACAACGTCACTTGGCCTAATGTATACTAGGACGGATGATTACCGACTAGTAGGCTACTCGGATAGTGACTGGTGTGGAGATGTTGGTGACCAGAAAAGCACGTCTGGATATGTATTCTTCATGGGAAACACAACATTCACCTGGCTTTCAAAAAAGCAGCCCATTGTAACGTTGTCAACTTGTGAAGCCGAGTACGTTGCAGCATCCTGGAGTGTCTGTCATGCAGTTTGGCTTAGAAACCTTCTAAGCAAGCTAGAGTTGAAGCAAGAAAAAGGGACTGTGATTCGAGTTGATAACAAGTCGGTCATTGAATTGGCAAAGAACCCGGTCAATCATGAGAGAAGCAAGCATATTGATGTTTGGTTTCACTTCATCTGAGAACAAGTGAAAGAAGGAAATGTGGAGTTAGAGCACGTCGGAACCCGAACACAAGCTGCAGATATGTTCACGAAGCCACTGCCAACTACTCTGTTCGAGAACAACAAGAAGATGCTTGGAATGAAGGACAAGAAAAGCATTTAAGTTTATGGGGGGATTTTGTTAGGTAAACCTTAAATGCATGTGGTTGAAAGGTAGTTGTTATCTCGAGAAAGAAGCTGCTAAGGGTCCAGAACAAAAGAAACAAACTCAAGAAAACAAATGTTTCTTTTGCAATAAGATTGGACACATAAAGAAGAAATGTGATAAATATCATGTTTGGCGTGAAAAGAAAGGGTTGCCTAAACTACCGGAAGCCAATTGATTCTGAAAGATGGATTTATGTTGGAGATGGTAAATCGGTAGAGGTGGAAGCTATAGGACATTTTAAATTATTATTGAGTACTGGTTTTTTATTTGGATTTGAAAGACACTTTTGTTGTGCCGTCATTTAGACGGAATTTAGTTTCAATTTCTTATTTGGACAAATTATGTTATTTGTGTTCATTTGAAAACAATAAGTTTAGTTTGTCTTTTAATTCAGATATTATTGGAACTGGTTCACTTTTGATTTATGATAATCAATATTTACTTGATATTGTGGCCACCTATAATGAAACCCTTAATACAGAATCACGTGGTACTAAACGTAAA